CTTATAAATAAATTAATTAGTTATTATATATATACTATATATATATATATATATATATATATATATATAATATAAAAATAATGAAAAATTTTAAAAAACAAAAATGAGCTTTTATATAGATAAGTTATTTGCTTTGGCCGAAGAGGCCGACGGTTCGGTTGAATCGAACTAAAGCATACCCGAATTTGACTGAAGCAGTTGAAACGGCCCGAATATAACTGAAACGACAACACTAGGCTTTGCTTTGCTTCGGTTTGAACTTAAAATCCGAAAGCTTCGACATCTTTCACCGCAGCGAAGCGAATTTGACAACACTGGTAGAACGTTATGTTTAAGCATCTTCCACCCTTACCATATTCAATAAGAATCCAATCAAGAAGCTGATATGCCCGCTAAAAAGAGTGCTGTCATAGCTACTTAGCTGTAAATAGATTTTGATGGCATATCTTGTTACTGCATTTTCCTTTAGCGACTAAGAAGACTATGTATGGTTGCACTGAACTAATAGAGTCGGTACTTATTTGCGGTAAAACACATAAATAAATAGCTAAAAGATACTCTACTTCCTCGGGAGAGTACTGACCATTTACTCCCTCAAGTAAATTCCCCCCAAGGAATAATTTTAAGACAGATTTTGCGAATATAATTTTTTTTTAACACATAGATTAACCTAACTAATTTTTTTCTTAATTGCACATCCTAAGCACTCAAAAAAAATAATGTCTCAAGATTAAATAGAAACCGTCTAATTTTCAAAAAGTGAGATCTATGCGTTAGAAACTCAAAATTGAAATGTTTTTCTATTGAAAATAATTATCTTGTGATTCTTAGGTGGTTCAAAAAATATAAGATCGAAAAACTCCTCCTAAGTAGATTGGGGATGGAGCGGTCTAGTGTTCACATCATCGGACCAAACCCTTTTGTGTTCCTAAAGCATAAAGGTTTGATCTAATGTTTCAAGCACATGACCACTTGCTTCTTCTTCTATTTTTTAGCTGCCAGTCTGATGCTCGTAGAAGAGGTCGAACCGATGTTTACAACATCAGCTTTTGTAGTTTTTTTGTTTTTGTTTTTTTCTCTCTCTCTAAATTAGCTATCAATGGACAGTGACTGCTCCATACTTGTAAAAATCCTTAATTTTAGGACAATCCGATATTAAAGACATCAGACTAATACCAAGGCTATTGAACATTCCTAAAGTTTAACAAAAAAAAATTTAGAAAAAAAAAGAAGAAAGAGGGAACAACCCGATGTTTGCACCCATCGGACAAGTTACGAAACTGGAACGAAAAAGAAACAGCTCCATGTAAAATTTTCAAAATATTGAACCAATTTTTAATTCCAATAAAGTTCGTTGGTCTGTACATTAAAAAAAAAAAAGTAAAAGAGTTGAGGAGGTTACATCACAAAAATTTAGGTTTATGTTTTAGGACCCTAAGAATGCTCCCAAAGAGGGTTTTACCTAAAGGGAGTGAATCTCCATATGCACCATAGGAAGCATAAAATCTTTTAGACTTAATATTTGTCTTGACCTCAAATTTTTTGACTTAATATTTGTCATGACCTCAAATTTGGTGACTGGATATTTGTCTTGACCTCAAATTTGGTTGGGATGATATATCAAATTTGGTGACTTAATATTTGTCTTGACCTCAAATTTGGTTGGGATGACATATGAGACCATTTATCTTTGTTATCAGAAAATTACAATCACTACTGACCATGATGTCAAATTGGATTTATTTTTAACTTTAAGTCTAATCAATAACGCTTTTATAACCAACCGATTTTAAAATCAGATGAACAAAACTGATTGTGACCCTTGTTTCAAAAGTAATTGGTCTTATTTCACACTTTTCCATATTCGTTACCCATATTTTCTTTCTTGATCAAGACTGATCCGGTACTGCCATTTTACCAAATGACATGGTGATACCCAAGGGCCTGTGAACAACCCATCAGGAACAATTATTTCATCTCCACAAAAACATCTACATAAAAACAATGGGTTGTATATTATCACACCATATATCTTTATTACAAAAAGGTCACAATTGCTACTAGCCATTACCGTCAAACTGGATGGTTACAAAGAGGTCACAATTGCTACTAACCATTCTCGTCAACCTGGATGGCTTAGAGTGTGTCGCAAGGTTTGAAATTTTTTTTACGGAACTGAGTCTGGTCAATGACATACAATCATCCGATTTGAAATTTCATTGATACGAGTAATTGTAACCTTGTATAAAAAATAAATAATTTCTTTGTATACTTTTTCCTAAAAACAATTATTTCTATACAAGGTTAACTAAGAAATTAAACTAACATAGAAGACCCAATAAACCACTGCACAAATAAGAGAGAGAGAGAGAGAGAGAGAGAGAGAGAGAGAGAGAGAGAGAGAGAGAGAGAGAGTAGTAGTAGTAGTAGTAGTAGACGTAGTACGTAGTACGTACGTACGTACGTACGTACGTACGTACGTAGTACGTTACGTTACGTTAACGTTAACGTAACGTAACGTAA